CCTAGTCGCAGCATCCTATATAATCGTTGTACCCTGACCTACAGATTTCTATCGTGAGTGTTCATCTCTCTCGCAGTTCTCAACCGTTGTCATCATGTCTGGACGTGGAAAAGGAGGTAAAGCTAAGACCGGAGGAAAATCCAAGTCACGTTCGTCACGTGCTGGACTTCAATTCCCCGTTGGTCGTCTTCATCGTATGCTCCGCAAGGGCAACTATGCTGGACGTATCGGTGGTGGAGCACCTGTCTACTTGGCTGCCGTTCTCGAATATCTCGCTGCTGAAGTGCTCGAGTTGGCCGGTAACGCTGCCCGTGACAACAAGAAGACCAGAATCAACCCTCGTCATCTCCAGTTGGCCGTTCGCAACGACGAAGAGCTCAACAAGCTCCTCTCCGGTGTGACCATCGCTCAAGGAGGTGTTCTGCCAAACATCCAGGCCGTTCTCCTTCCCAAGAAGACCGCCGGTGACAAGGAATAAGCGCCCAACGTGCTGGCTGCATTCAACTAACCCAACGGCCCTCTTTAGGGCCACAATTGTTGTACGAAACGAAAACGAATCATATATCAGCAATCGAGCTGAAGTTATCAATTGATTTGTGTGGTTGAATAAAGAGATTTTTATTCGATTTCATTGTATAAGGCTAAAATATATTTTCAGAGACATTTCTTCACGAATATTTGTAGAGATAAATTGGTTTCCTGATAAACAGATTCACTTCTGAAAAATACGGCTAAAGCTTATTGTCTTGATTTTCAATCACATCAGATGGATTCATCCTTTGTAAAAGCAGAAAATTAAGAAAAATCATATTTATAATGGGGTATTACATTGAAAATAAGCTTTTATCTAGGTATTTACAGGAAGCAATATGCGAAACGTATAGAATCGAATTTTTCAACAAAATGCAATACAGGGATCGTATATTGGACGGTATACTGAAGCCAGATGATTCATGCAAGCACTCCTTCGCAATCTGAATTTTTCACAGAAAATCACACTCAAAAATTTTATTGTGGAAATGGATTTTATTGCAGAAAATTCTTTAGAACTAGCTCCTACATCATTCACAATGGTAAAGGATTGCGTAGATTGTACCAATCTTCCATTCCCATTGATTCTTTA